AACGTTACTAGGATGCTCCCACCCACCAAGCGCAGCCATGTCAGGCGGGGGTAGGATCGCCAAAAAATTCAGGAGGCAAAAAACTGAATTTACCTGGTAACGACTTGCTGAAACGGTAACATTGGAAGTTACGGGATGTACACAACGACTACCAAACGCAGTGGTACATTTCAATACAATAGCCAGCTCGGTTGTTAAAATGGTGTAGAGATTTGGATAATTCGCAATGTACTGCTTATCCAATGATTCCATTTGATCTTTTGCACCAACAAATGCCCTGAAACAAGACAACACGGATCAATATCATTTTATCATCAAAACGAATGAACGAATCGCAGAAAGGGACCAATTGATTTCCCAACCATTAGCTTTTCAAAGAAGCACTGATACGACACGCAGCTGAAATATCATATCAATAAGGAAACAACAGACAAACCTTGCACCTTCGTTGATTTCCTTTAATTGCGAAGCAAATAGGCTAAGGCAACGGCGACTGTCGCAGGCATCGGAGAGGTCCAGAGCAATTTCACGCGGTAAATTTGGATGTAAAGGCGTCAGTGGAGAAGGCTGGGCCTTATTTTGCTTACTGAATTTACTTATCAGCTGCGTGAGATTTTCAGTTGAAGCTGCACTTGCTGGAGGCGTAATTGAGCCAAGATGACAAGCAGAAATATACACCTGAAAGGAAGCAGATTTTAGCAAATGCATAACTGAAAACATAGATTCGAACGAATTATTAGGATACCCAAGTGTATACTCAAAGGAGCTGAGAATCATTAATACGGTTACGCATCTATGCAATTTTTTTCTTTTCCAAAACTTTTTCTTTTTCAAAGCTGCATCACGAACAATCAGATTGCTAGCAACTTTTCACGAGCGACACTAAAAAAAAAGACCGCAAATGGTGTAGTATCCAGGGTTTCTAAATGCTTCCTAAAATTCATTTATGATTAAAGTACAAGAATTTCGGATATTTATATTTTTCGGATTTCGCAAATGCTCCCCTTTTTTGACTTCAGTGCAGCAATCCCTTAAAAACAATACTAGCCGAAATTATTACATTTCGATTTATGCACGCACTATGTCAGTACCACAACTGGGCCTCATTTGTATATTAGTTGTAATGTAAATTTATTGAATCACATAAAATATTATAATATGAACCTGACTACAAATCTTATCCCATAGCTTAAAATGTTTTCAAAAAATAAGTTACATTAAAAAAAACCTTCTGTCCAGTCACTAGCTGCGCTCGAAGCTGCTCTAGATCGACATACTCGATCCATATATGCTAAAATTGAACCATTACAAATGCTTATAAAATCCTTTAGCATTAAAATTCCTGTTATACACGAATGCTTTTGCAATTTTAATGATATCAAGTAACCTCTCTTATGAATTTGTGATAGCTCAAAACTACTGCGAAAAGAAGCTCGTGTAAAAAGATCACAAATCAAACTTTTACACCATAAAAAGCCGGAATCGTAGTAAGATGACAATACCCAAATCTTAATCGCCAAATAAGGAAAAAAACTGATGTGACTGCGATAAGAACACGATGGTTAAAACCATGGTACTAACGAAGTCATTGGCGACAATGAACTGCAGCAAATGATCGAGCAAATAATCGTCGTACGAACGAAATGAGCTACTGCAGATACTCGGATTCGATAACCATTGCGCAAATGCCTGAAATGAAAGAACAGAGCTACGACTCAAAACACAAAATGTACTAAATTACATTAAAAAAATGTTTATTTTATTATTATTCGGATCTTGCTCGCGTTGCCAAAACCGTTGGACGTCGCGTATTACTGAATGGTGCACGAGGAAAAAGTAAACGACCGCACAAATGACCCTCGGGAATTCTGGAGGTATGTAGTTCATTTTGGAGGTATGCAGTTCAGGATCGAAGGGTTTGGCAGAGCTGTGTCAGGCGTGTGGGAGCATCCCAGCAACACCGCCAGCGTAGAATACCCAAACGGAAAGATCAGTACCCTTGGTACTGTTGATGTTCTGCTATCATCCAATTACAAAAATTACATGCGAGGAAAATTCTGTCTCTGCTGACCGGAGAAGGATAAATACACATCGCACTCTGACTCACGAACATCTCAAAAACTAGAACATTGCCTTCTGTTTGTCCCTATTTCATGTTTTTTCAAATGCCTTTATGTCATATTTATCTTTTTTTGGCCTAATTTTTTTTTCTTTTTTTAGAACAACTTATTATTTCTCGGCTAATTGTAACATTTCCAGCCCGTTCTCTAATTTTTTCGCTCAGTTTTTCATATTTCTTTTTGCTCACCAAAAAAAGCTTTCCTTAAAGTTTCATTAAGCCAGATAACTACATTCTGAACTTGTACCTTATAAAAAAGAGCAACATTTTTTGCACTGCGATGTTCAGTTTGTGGGAGAATCCGTGTGCGCAATTGTTCGAATAGCGGCTGACTAACTGGATTTCTCAGATATTTCTCGCCGTAGCATACTTTAGCTCTGCAAAGAAAGCGTTCCGTTCAGAAATAAGCTTTTTTGAGCTTCAAAAAACTTAGAAATGCAAATGAATATTTCTCTCCGGAAAGAAAAATAAACAAAAAGAAAAATAAATATTCGAAGAATGCGACTTCTGATCGCACTCCATGGCTGCCGTAACAACCCCAGAATGCCTGAGAATCATAAGTTATTGAAAATCCTTAAGTTGTTTTCGCTAAGTTTTCTTCCTTCCACTGTACCGAATTTCTAATGAACTTCATACCCTTAAAGATGAAGTTTATCTCACTCCACTCAAAACAACAGTGGAACAAATGGGTCGAGAACAGTGTGGATATACCTACTTCCAAACCGTCATAAATTATTGGAAACACAGAAGAATGAGCCAATTTTCAGCTCCCCTTCAGACAACTAGACCTGTACATATTTCAGATAGAAATATATGAAAACACATACGCAAGATATGTTTTTCTGGAATACAGATGAATTGCCAAATTTTGAAGGATAAGTGGGAAGACGGGATGCTCAGCTATACCATCGGTACATGCAAATTGTAACCAACGATGAAAGTGCAGTCGCTCAATGGGAATCGTCAAATGCGATTTCGACGCTGCTTTCTAAAAAACTGTCTGTGAATTCTCAGGCAATATCACTCAGTTCTCCGCAGTGGTTTCCTCAAATGTTCGCCAATTTTATAAACAAACGATATCGAGCATTCATTTACAAAAATCCGTCAGATTCATGGCTCCATGTTATCAGAAGTTAAACGTTTTCAGTGAATGTGACTGAAGTACTCTAGGCCATGATGAAGAACATTACATATAAGAAATGGCTCCTTGCTAGTAAAATAAGTTATCGTGGTCTATAAATGAAATCATTCAGGCCAAGGCAGCACTGCTCAGCACACATTAGGGATATCACGAAATCATTAAAGTCGCAACTTTTGTTAAATTGATAATCTTTTCGGGGAACAAATAAGACTTAGAAAAATTATAAAACTTAGAGAAATAAAACTGAAGAGGAGGCAGAGTTGCACAAATTGCCCTAATTTATCCAAAAAGGCAAGGAGAAGTAAGAATGTTAGTACTGATAAGAAAATTTTAAGCAGGGGATAAAGAAGAAAAATGATGTAGAAATTAGCACTGAAGTGAAA